ACATTCTAGGATCTAGTTGTCACTACTTTTTGCTTTCCTAGGACATGTATGTTAGTTAGTTGCTCCTACTTTCACTTAGGCTGTTAGCTGTGACATTGCTGTTTTGTGACATTTTATATCCTAGGTTGCATCGCATGGACTCGGCATGGAGCTTGCTCCGCATCCTAGACTACTCAGGTTTTCTTTTCTTTGGTAGAGTTCCGCTTCTTGGCGGAAGCATGTTTGTATCTACACGATCCATCACAGGCCGAGGATCGTGTAGCGGACCTCGGGTTGGCCTGTGAGACCAGCCCCTTGGCCTGTTCTCACAGGCCTGTGTTATATTCGGGGTAGGCCAGTCCAGGCCGGTACCTCTGTCGGTACCAGCCAGTCCAGTCCAGTCCCGTCAGTCCGCTGGGGTATACCCCACCCATTGTCTGTTTTCAGTCGGATTCCTCACTTGCACTTGCGTTGGAGTCTTGCGAGGGGAGCTGCGTTGTGCCATCTTGCTCCCCCTTCTTCCTCCATCTTTATCTCTGTCACTAGTGGAGCACCACACCTGGTGGGTCCGCTACATATTCGCTCTACAAGCAGAATTATTTGTGGCCCTGGTTACTTCCGCCTCAACACTGCAAATCTGGAAGACGAAGGAATCGGAGAATGGACCGAGACCTTTTGGAGGGAATGAAAATCAGTGGTAGAACTGTTTGACTCTTGGGCTGAATGGTTAGATGTTGGGCTTCATATAATCTCCCATAGGCTCGACACCTTTTCACAGATCGCAGCCTATCTTATAAACGTGAAAGAAGCAAAGTGTAGAAAGAAAGTGGAGGAGGCAGAGAAGAGACTGGGTAAGCACCCCATTTCAGATCAGGCATGGGCAAAGGAAAGAAATGAGAGATTGAAAGAATGGGAAGAGATACAAGTGGAGAAACAAAAGAGATGGGAACAAATCTTGCAAGCAAAGGGGATTGCAACCGGTGATAGAATGAACAAGGAAACTTTTAAAAGGCTCCTTCCATCATCAAGGAAACCACATGTGCGTGAGCTTAAACACCCTCTTCTGATTGAAGCTCTGGTAGCAAGGTCAAATATGGACATCTGTTCATACGTTGCAGCCTACTACAACAACATTCTCACCTCTCGGAACCCTCAACAAGGTTTTGACACAGATCTATCTCTGGAATCGCCATTAATGAGCCAAGTTCCCTCTCCACTCTCACAGGTAGGCATCCTTGACCTGGATAAACCGGTCACCGCAGAGGAGCTGACACAGGCAATTAAGGTCGTGGCAAGAGGTAAAGCCTCGGGTGACGATAGATTTCCCGTTGAATTCTTCGAGACTCATTGGTCGTTGTTGGTTGAGGATATGGTAGAACTCTTTAACAATACTTAAGAAGAGGGTAAGTTGGGCAAAACAATGTCCAGAGGGATCACAACACTATTGTACAAAAAAGGGGATCATGACGAAGTACGCAACTACAGACCGATTTCTCTATTGAATGTAAGTTACAAACTATTAGCGAAGACATTAGCAGAGAGATTAAGTAGACATCTTCCAAGTCTGATAGGCGCAGAGCAGGGAGCTTTTGTGAAAGGCCGTTCGATTTTTTAGAATGTAGTCACTGCAATCGAAACTCTGGAACTTATAGATAAAGGGAATCAGGACACCACTGTGCTCATGTAGGATCTGGAAAAAGCTTATGACAGGGTTAACTGGTTTTTTGTGATGAGCATCCTCAAAATTATGGGCTTTGGTCCTATCTTCTGTCGATGGGTAGTTGCCCTATATGGTAGTTCCGTTGCGGCAGTCTGCGTCAACGGCTTTCTTTCCAACGTCTTCCATCTGACAAGATCTCTTCGTCAGAGCTGCCCCCTTGCTCCTCTTTTCTTTGTGGTACAACTGGAGTCTCTCCTCTGTAATCTGAGAGTTCATCCGGATATTCAAGGTCTTGTTCTTCCCAACGGTAAGGAATGCAGAAGTAGAGCTCTTGCTGATGACCTTTTCGCTATCTCTGCTAACACGAAAAACTCATTGGAAGCCTTGAAATTTGTTCTCCTATTGTATGTCGAGCTCTCTGAAGCAGCAGTTAACTGGTCAAAGTCCATATTTTTCCTACCTCCACAGTTTGAACTTGTTGTGGAATGGGGAATGGAGAGGATCTCGGTGGGGAAAGCCGAACGTTTCTTGGGAGTTCAGGTAGCCCTTGGTAACTGTTCAGAGAAGCAAGACGAAATCATCCCTCAAAGAGTTTGTAACAGGATCCGCAGTTGGGGGAAGGCTCGCCATCTCTCTCGGGCGGGGCGGGAAGTAGTGCTCAGAACCTCGACCTTTGCCCTCCTGAGTTATGTGGGCACAATACAAAACTTTTCTGGGGTAATGCTGAAGTCAGTCAAAGACGTCTCACAACGCTTTTTATGGAAACCAGATGCACGGGAAGATCAAGGCTATATCGCTAAAGTAGTGTGGGAGGTGGCTTGCAGACCACGAGAGGAAGGAGCTTTGGGGCTATATGACCCAGAGGTTCAGAACATCGCTCTTTTGAGCAAATGGGTGGTAAGGGTGGCAGAAAAAGGGAATGATACGGACTGGATCATGATGGTTGAAATGCTCCTGGCTGAGGAACGAGAATTAAGCAATTCTTCAGATGTATGGGTTGGCAATGCCTGTTCCATGACTCCTTCCTCAATAAACGCATCCAGTCAATCTTCTGGAAAGGGGTGATCTCAGCCTGGAAGAAGGTCAAACCCTCAATAGTCAAACTGCCAGCTACTAAGGAGGAGGTTAAAAGGCAACATCTTTTGGAAAATTCATTCATCACAGACAGCGACGGCCTCCCCTTCTCTGCAGACAATCGCTCGGGTCACTGTGGCATGAAGTGGATCCAACGGAGGATCTCCACCATCGCAGACCTCTGGGACGAATTGACAAACTCTTGGACTTCACCTGAACAGATAAATTAAGAAGAGAAGTTGGGCCAACTCTCACACCAAAACCTCAGACAGGAAGAGGTGAAAAAGGCTAGACCTAAGGATTGGATAACATTGCTCAGCCCGCATGGCATTAACCCAGTGGGAACATGGTACAAAGAGAAGTTAAGCAACACCTCACAGGTATTCCGCCTGCAAGAATGGGTTGGAGACACCTCTGGTAAATGCTGGCTGGAATCATATAACCACCTCCACAAAGGTCTCCCAGAAGTCGTAATTCCTGAGATTACATGGAAATACGGTCTGAGCAACCTGGAGGAAATTTGTGTAAGGCGTCTTCCCCCACGTGCCCCAGGCCAGCCGGACGCTTTGGTGGTGGTTGCAAAGGCAACACCATTGAGGGAAATGAAAATTGATCCAACAATGTGGGGTTGGGTCTGTGATGGGGAATCAGTCTGGGGTTTGGAAAATCTCTCTTCCAAGTTAGTACCTAACATTCAGGCGAAGCTACCCCATGCCAGTGCAACGATTGCTAACAGCTGGACCAGATCCTGTCCTGAGGTAAACCCTCCCTCAGAGGTGGAACTGACCTCCTTATGGAAACAACTCACGAAGATGCCCTCTCAAAAGCTGGCTTCATTGGCCTGGTTGCAATCCCACATGGCAGTTCCCACTGCTAAATGGCTTCACGACAGATGGATGGATGTCTCCACCCAATGTGACAGATGCGCCGGTGCTACAGAAATAATGCTGCAACATTTATGGTGGGACTGTCCGCTTGCAAACAAATGGTGGAAGTGGTGGGAACGACACTGGGTGACTTTCTCAAGGAAAGGAATCTAACAAGTAAAAGATGGGCGCTGCTGGGTGTTCTACCACCAGATGTCTCAGGAACCAAGGGTTGGGAATATGTTGGACAAGTGGCTCGATTAGCCATGCTTTGGACAATCTGGCTGGACAGAAATGGCAGAAGATTCCAAGGTGAACCCCTCCAAGAAGTTCAGGCGGAGAGAATCTTTCACCATCTTCTGAAAACTCAGATCAAGGCAGATTGGTTCCGGAAAGTCTTTCGAGGAGATCGTCGGTCCGGTCTCCAATGGTTTGGTGAGACATGGGCACAAAGTGGACATCTACGAAACACCCGCGGATGCGTCCACGGGGTTGAGCTCGGAGGGCGGCCGTGATCACGGTCGTCGCGGCTCCGGCCGCGGTTGGGTGCGGCCGCGACTTTCAGGAATTTTGTTAGACTTTAAAAAATTCTCAAAAAAAAAAAACAAAAAATATGGGGTTGTAGATCGTTTCGAGATCTAAATTGTGAAATTTTGGTATTTATTTTTTGACTTTGTCTTTGAATTTTAAAAATTCAAAAACTAATTTTCCTAAGGCAAAAGCTGGTT